CGAGGGCCATATTTTCCGTAATCACCCGTATCGAGTGGGTTATTTTAATTATTACCCATACTCAATTTTGATGATTTACGTCGTTAAAATGTGCTGCATCGTGTTGCTATATAAGCGAGCTCCACCCGGCCATCTCCAATATATTCATCCGCAGGAAAACAAGCGGCTTTTTACTGCTAGCCGCTTCACTCTTACCAAGTCAAATTCAAACGATATGCAATGTAGTACCAGAAAAAAATGGAGAATTCTCATTAAAAACTGCAAAACTCACGACTTTGTTTAACAACAATTTATAACAATTAATAATACATGTTACTGATAAAACTTTTAGTTATCAGAGACAAATAAATTTACAAAACAGTCAAAGCTAGGTCAGACCGTTGCAAACAGTCCCGGAAGCAAGAGGTGCCGAGAAATGCACCGATGCTGTTACCGACGAATTTCGCTCAATATGTCAGTATTGTAAACTGTCATCTTCAACAACAATGAAAACTGGCTAAACAAAGTCACAAAGTCAATAGTTAAAGAACATGTGTGTCACGAAAACAGATGGGAATGTCATACAAGAAGAATCAAGTCAGTCGCAGTGTGAGATGTTTGACCTAGATCTCGGCCGAAGTTTCAGAGCGCGCATGGCTGAACTGGGAGCAGGATGTTTACATCTATCATCGATTCTATGCAGAATCTGTCTGGATGTATGATAACCTGGGACTAATCGGAATCAGAAGCGGAATGAATGACGTTAATTCTTCGTAGTTTTGGACTTGGTTGTCTGACCGTAGCCCCAGTGTCATTTGGGGAAATTGTAATGTTAAATACCCCACCATAGATCGGCCCAGCGAAAAGTGTGTGAACTGCTTCACATTTCGTGTCATGTGAAACTCGGTTCTGTTGTGATTTACTAAGTGACACATGGTGGGCTTGTGGCATGTCGTGAGATCTATCAACATGTGATTCAAGAACTTGGGAATTTCGCATGGCTACAGTGGAGTTTGAGGTGTTGGAATGTGCAAGGATGTTGTTAATATTGTGATGCTGGTGCTCATTTATTTTGGAGTAATGATTGATGGACTGGATGTTTTTGTGTCCAGACACCTGCATGATCTGATGTGCGAAACGCCATTGTCAGAGAGAGTTTGAATCATCCTTTTCCTTGCACTGTGATTTGTTAAACATTTGTCAGCTGACAACCCTGCCCTGACGGCTATCCTTTTCATTATGGACCCCAGTTTATTACTGCAGCAGGGCGTGGAGTTATCCCACAGATGACATCCTTACCTTGTCAGCTTGCCTCTTTTGTCATGTGGACAAGGCGTCCGACCTCAGATCAGAAGGTCCGTGGTTCGAATCCCATCACGGGACTCGGGAATTTTATGGCCGTTACATTTGGTAGCCTTGACAGAACATCAGCATCAATGTTACTCTTCCCTGGTCTGTACCTAATGCTGAAATTATACGCAGAGAGTGCTGCCAACCATCGATGACCAGTAGCATCAAGGCGAGCAGTCGTTAAGACATACGTGAGAGGATTGTTATCTGTGACAACTGCAAACTCATGTCCATACAAGTAGTCGTTGAACTTTTCTGAGATTGCCCACTTCAAACACAGAAACTCCAGTTTATGTGCAGAGTAGTTTCTCTCAGATTTGTTCAAACCCCTGCTTGCATAGGCAATCACTCGCAGTTGCCCATCCTGCTCCTGGTATAGCACTGCTCCTAATTCCCGAGTACTGGCGTCGATGTGGAGCTCAAAGGGTTTGGAAAAATCAACATATCCAAGCACGATGTCCCCTAATGATGGTAGTACTGTTACCTGGGATTATGATGTTACATAACTCTGAAGATCTTACAAGTCCAAGTTTCCCATACTTTGCCAACTGCCTTTTACGTAGAACCATTGTTCGATAGGCCAGGTACCATGGAGTATGGAGTCTTGCTCACTGAAGGAACTGAACACCAACAGTATCTCGGCAGTTGTCAAGGAGTCTTGAAAGTACGTTGGTTCCCAAAAGAGCCGGCACTCGTCCGTTATACCTTGTGTCCGGGACAACAAGCACTAAACATGATAAGGCTTCTTTGCTGTCATTGCCGCTGCCTGTAGTCGTAATTCCAACCTGTACATATCCCATGTATGGTAATTGCTCTCCTCCTGCACATTCTATGTTGAGTATATCATCAAGTGGACTGAGTGGAATGTGGCTTAAATAACCTTCGTAGAACGATTGTGACATCACAGATACGGTAGCTCCTGTGTCTAACAAAGTCTGTACAGGTGTGTCTTCAATCCAGATAGTTACTTCAGTGGAGCTTCCAACTAAACCATCTGGAATCTCATTTCTGGGGCGCAGATAGGAACCTAAGGGTGGCCCCTCCCCATAGGCCTGGGCCAGTTTAAAGGACGTCGCATATGATCCATACGAACTCTGCATCCATAAGAAAGATGTCCTTGGTAGCCACATCTCCAGCAGGTAGGCATCTCTGGTTCTGAACTTGGCTGAAATCTGGAGGCTGTAGGAGCTGTTGATGCTGGTGGAATGGGGGAATTCTGTTGATAGGTTGGAGGTGGAGGACCAAACTGATCAGACTGATTCTGGCTGTTACCGCTTCTTGTTGTAACTGGAGTCCAGTTACCTGTGGATCCTCTTCCTCTGTTATACTGACCTCTTCCTCTGTGTCCACGCTTAGGCCCTAAAAATCCTGAAAATTGAGCTCGCTCCTGCAAAACATGAGCTGAGAGTTGCTGTTGCTGTAACTCAGACATTCCAGTGTGTAGCTCCTTAACCATAGCCTTCAACTCTGTTAGTTCACTCTTGGATTCCTCAGGCTCGGATGGTGTTGCCATGTTAACAGGAGCTGTCTTTGGCTTTGGCTTGGTCTTGGAGGTGTCGGCCTTGCCTCTCCTCAGATCAAATTCCATTTCCCTGAGGCACAAGCGCAGATCATCAAAGCTATAGATGGAGTCGTACTTGTAGCCAGCCAGAGTCTTCAATGATGGATTGAGTCCATCCCATAGGCGAGTATGCAGCATGTCGTCCTGTTCAGCCTGTGAAAGGGATTTCTGTTTAGCTAACTGAAACATAAGGCGATCCAAACGGCAGCTCCAGGTAGCAACATCCTCATCTTCTCCTTGACAGGCACTGTAAAATTCTGACATTAGAACTTCGACGCAGAGTTCCAAAAGCACTTTTCAACTTATGTAGTAGAATTGCAAAATCCGCATGGGGCCCTAGCTTCATAGATATGATAGCTGCTTCTCCTTTAAGCGACTTCCTAATAGCTTGAAGGATGACGTCATGGCTATGGGTCTTGGTTCCAATAAGGCATTCCACTTCATAGATCCAGTGATCATAGTCTGTGTCTTTTCCTGGTTCGCCACTGAAAAAGGGAAGTTTAGGAAAATGTTGGTAAGTAACATCTCGGCGTGATGCTGATGCGTGACCTTCATGTTCCTCTTCCTGTTTAATAGGATGCTCCTTCTGTGAGATACCTTGTATCCAAGCTTTAAGGTCTTTAGGTGAGTCCACTTTAGGCTGGAAACCCATCTTCTTAAATGCTACTAGCATACCTTCCATTTCCTCTTGGCTTAACTCCATAGTGCTAGGTAGGGTATCTGTAAACGAAAGTCCTGGAAGACAATAAAGAAAAGAGATACCTAAAAAAAATGAAAAACCAGTAACCTGGTAACTTGAAATAAACTAAGGAGAAAAAAATACAAATGGAATATAACCATTTGAAAAGTGGGGAGTATTGCTAATAAAAGTCAAAGCAATATTTGATTGCACGTGGCAAATATGAATGACTGACAATCAGTGAGGTATTTGTAATATCATCAAATTGATATATACATGTGACCAGGGTCACGGCACGTGGTCGAAGTAATGAGATCAGAACTTGATCAAAACCTGATCAAAATAATCAGACTATCACGTGATTGAAACAACAAGTGATACCGACGGACGTGGATCAACACGTGATTTAAGCGAGTAGATCAGTTAATGTGATCAAACTGAAATCACTATATGATCAAGACGAGGGAGCCACAAGGTGGTGGAAAAAATTATAGTGCCATGGTACCAACAAAACAATAACCCCTAAGTGATGGTAAATATTTGAAGTACGTGTGCGTTTATTTGTTACAGCAATCACGAAGTTCAGAACAGCCTCCTTAACGAAACACAATACACAGCAAAAAAAGTGTAGGTTTCCGGTTTCCGGAAACCTTCCGGATACCTTCCCATTTTGGATCCGGCCCGGATACCTTCCGGAAACCTTCCGGAAACCTTCCAAAAAAAATGTCAAAATTTGGGGGGTGCATTTTGTTCACTTAAGTGTGAAACACATAAAAAAGTTATCTTGAAAATACCAAGAGATTTGAAGGTTGCTGAAGGCATCTGGAAGGTTTCCGGAAGGTTTCCGGAAGGTATCCGGATGCAAATTTTCTTCATGGTTTGGGCATATCATACAACTGCAGTAATTTTCAGCACATGCTATCTCCTCATGTTATAGAAATCTTTGGGCATGCTGTCTTTTTGAAGTTTTTCACAACTTTCTTTTGTTATGATCTTTATATGTTGACATAATTGCAATAGGCAATGCGAGTTCTATTATGGAGCTTAACAGTATTCTTAACTTTTATGTTCATACATACAATTTGTACTTAGGAAGAACATTGACAGCCATCATACCACCATATGCTCACTTTGGCCTTTGGTCCTAGTGAGATCATAAAACAGAATTCATCAGTGATTATTTTCCCATATAGGTGCATAACAGTCATGGCATAAATAGTGTATAAACTAAATAAACTTCATCACAGAGACAAAAGCTGTTATTTTCGACAGACACAGCAATAAAAACTGTTCAAAGTGCAGTATTAGTTGCAGAAAACATTAAGAGCATTGACATATTGAATATATGCCCAGCAGCTTTATTCTGGCGTATCAGGTAATCTGAATCTCAACATCTATGACTGATGCTAATGAAACAAAACAAAAAAATTCTAAGATAAAAAATACATTTATTGATCGACAACAAATAAGCATAATGTTTCATATTTACATATCACAGACCACAAGAAGAGGCACATAGAGTAATTACTCAACATCATTCTCTAACAGATATACATGTGTCAGTGTCCATGTAAATCACCCAGACATTGTCACACTTCTGTGGCATAAGTCATTCAGATACATATCAAAGATCACAAGAAGATGCGCAAACACATCAAGTAATTAATCATCTTCTCTCACTGACTTACACGCTGACATTTCTGTGAACTCATCGATCCTGTTATTTCGAAAAGTCTTCTCAAATAATATATCAATGAACACTGCTGGCCTCACAAGAAACAGGTTTCAGTTTGTTCAAAATTGGCTTCAATACAATAATTAGACAATGCTACCATGAAAGGTTTTATCCACAGATACACTAAAATTAATAATATTTGTGTTTATCTCAAGTCGACATCACTCAATGTTATGTCACAGTAACATGACACTATTCTTTTAGAATTCATCAATTGTGGGTTTATATTCCACCCAGACTAGTCACACTGATGTGGCATTATTCATTCAGATTTGTACAGTGTCGGTGTAAACCACCCAGACTAGTCACACTGATGTGGCATTATTCATTCAGATTTGTACAGTGTCGGTGTAAACCACCCAGACTAGTCACACTGCTGTGGCATTATTCATTCAGATTTGTACAGTGTCGGTGTAAACCACCCAGACTAGTCACACTGCTGTGGCATTATTCATTCAGATTTGTACAGTGTCGGTGTAAACCACCCAGACTAGTCACACTGCTGTGGCATTATTCATTCAGGTTTGTACAGTGTCAGTGTAAACCACCCAGACTAGTCACACTGACGTGGCATTATTCATTCAGATTTGTACAGTGTCGGTGTAAACCACCCAGACTAGTCACACTGACGTGGCATTATTCATTCAGATTTGTACAGTGTAGGTGTAAACCACCCAGACTAGTCACACTGACGTGGCATTATTCATTCAGATTTGTACAGTGTCGGTGTAAACCACCCAGACTAGTCACACTGCTGTGGCATTATTCATTCAGGTTTGTACAGTGTCGGTGTAAACCTCCCAGACTAGTCACACTGACGTGGCATTATTCATTCAGATTCGTACAGTGTCGGTGTAAACAACCCAGACTAGTCACACTGCTGTGGCATTATTCATTCAGGTTTGTACAGTGTCGGTGTAAACCACCCAGACTAGTCACACTGACGTGGCATTATTCATTCAGATTTGTACAGTGTCGGTGTAAACCACCCAGACTAGTCACACTGCTGTGGCATTATTCATTCAGATTTGTACAGTGTCGGTGTAAACCACCCAGACTAGTCACACTGCTGTGGCATTATTCATTCAGGTTTGTACAGTGTCGGTGTAAACCACCCAGACTAGTCACACTGACGTGGCATTATTCATTCAGGTTTGTACAGTGTCGGTGTAAACCACCCAGACTAGTCACACTGACATGGCATTTTTTATTCAGATTTGTAGAGTGTCGGTGTAAACCACCAAGACTAGTCACACTGATGTGGATATTTGGGAGGCATGCATCTACAAGTAGAATGATTTGGGCACTGGACAAGTAACAATGAATCTCTGACAATTCTGCACTTCCATATGCCAAGCACATTTACCCTGAATGCGTTGCACAGGCAGAAATGAGGCAGGCCCATCGTTCTGACATTTGGCTGACCAAACAGTGAATGGGTTTAGATAGCCTAAGTCATTTGCAGAAACTTTGAACCATTCAACAAATGCAAACACATGTTGAACTGTCTGACCTGGATGTAATTCAAGGTTGTGAAGTATGAAGTACTTCACCCTTGCTGGGCGAGGAGACAATACATTTGACAAACATGAGTGACTGTCTGCCCATGACGCATAGATGAGGCTGTTCCGAAGAGAACGGTTGTTCGTCTCACAGCCAAGAGATTCATTGTTCCAAGACAATGATGTGCGTCTGCTGTACATACATGACAGCATGCCCAAATGAACGGATTTGCTGTACATGAAAGAATACACCTTGCATAAATTGTCAAGATGCTCTTTGCCAAGATTATGGAATGAAGTGTTTCGATCTTTGAGAGTGATAAGTGACATGTCACTCCAAACACTGGAGGAAACTTCACGTACTGACATTGTTGATGCTAATGTAACCTCTGGTGATGAGACTAAGACTTCAGCTTTTGATGAAACATCCAAAAGTTTCTCTAACAGGGGTGAAAATTCTGGATCAACATCAACATGTGAGACAGAATACATGAGAAACTTTCTCATCAGCTGGTCCTCTACACACCTTTTGTTTGTTGAGAAGTCAGATAGTATTCCATTGTATCGCTCAAAGCTAAATAGCCAGAAACCATAAATACTACCAAAGCTACGAACAGACTCTTCCAAATGGCAGTGTAAATGCATGTTGGGTGTCAGAAAATGAGCACCATACAGCTCTGACACTTGGTTGCAGAATTTTACCATAAGCCTTCCAGCAATACCTATATTGATATTGCTAATGCAAGGTTGACAGTAGTGTCTGCATGCCAGAACAAATGTCTGCCATGCGCGAAGATGGTTCACTGGCAAGAGGCCCTTCAGACAAATGAGGGAATATACAAGTACCCAATTCTTCCATTCCTTTGCAGTCATTTGTCCATAGTTTGTAGCTATGTTAGTGGGAATACGACCGACCTCTGAGGTTACATTGATTGACTGAATTTTGGAGCTTATCTCTGAGAGATTCCCTGAAGATAAGATCTCTTTCTCGACCCAGTGACCAAACAATTTCTTGGCTGTCCCAAGAAAGAGATTGTGCATTGGGTCAATTGCGCTCATTCTGGAGGGTTCAAAGTAAGGCAACTCCAGAAGGGCTGTGTAACGATAGCCAGAAAACTTCTCAACCTGCTTCTTCTTTGTGAGACAAGTAGCAGCACTGGCCTTACTTGCACACCGAAGATGATCTTCCCTGTTGCGGCTTGGCCACTGGACAAGATTTGGGAGCCCACAGTCACGAATGCCATTTGACCAAAGAGGCTTTGTACAGTGAGAACAGCCTTGAGTGGCACCATGACCCATGAAACCACAAAGTTTCCTGGCAGCTGGAATATCAGCTGATGCACACATCAAAGCCATTTTCACTGACACAGATGCTGACGAGCCTTGAACTTCCATCAACACGCCATTCCACAGTGCTTTTAACTCTGTGACTAATGGTGTAAGGAAGGAGTTTAAACTCTCTGGTTCCTTCGAGAGAGCTGGGATAATACCAACAAGCAAGCAGTTCTCTCGTTTAAACCTTTCATCACGTGGGAGGTTCATGAGGACCATGTACAGTGCACCTACTGATATGTCGCTCCGACGATCAAAAGGTTGAAACCAATCAACATTTAACATTCCCCCAAAGTGATGTGGTTGAGAGAGAAAGTCAGTGCCACCATGCTCATAAAAGCTCTTCCAAATTTCCCCATCATACACATCACCAAATAAATTGGAAGGAACATTCCTGTGACGCCACATGTTACACTTGTCCAAAAACTTGGGCCGCAAGAGAAAACGCTGCAAAGTTTCAATGATGCCACTGTAGCAGAAGACCTTTAAAGGGGAAAAATGTATTTTCCCACCCTTAAGACATACTTCCTTAACAAGGGTAGCATTGCAATGAACTTTGCCTTGTTTTCTACCCGATTTGCCAGCTGCACGACAACTATACACCATGTTTGTGCACTTCATAGCAACCTCAGTGCCATCAACAACATGAATGACACTGGTATATGCATAAAGTGCACAACAGTTAGGGCAGACGATATACTTTGTGAAATTATCACATTGTATGTTGAGAAGCTTTTTGGCCATGTACAGACTAGTTGGGAATATCTTTGCAACTGACGACAATAATTTAGGAATCGTTGCCATCAGAGCCAAAATTTGCCCAATCAGGATCAGAACCTTAACAATGCCAGCATTGCTAATATTGTGTGTCAACTGAATTGAAAAAACTGATGTCACAATCCATTTAACAATGTCTTGTGCCTTCTGTGGAATGCTCTGCTCTGTTGGGTGGTCCCTTGTATGGTCTTCATTTTGAAATCCGCATTCCTGAAACAATTTATTACATATTGTAAAACTGGTGATTCACAAATGATTCAACACGACAATAATTTAATGGGCAAGAACTTTCCTACTGAAGACAAAATGCTGTAGTGTCGAGGGTAGAACTGTTTAAAGAACCCATAAAGTACTGTTTCTATTTTCTTTCTAAAGCTCATATGAACATGATAGATTGTACAACCGATAGAATTTATTGCCCAGGATAAATTACCATGAAGCATTTCCAAGAAATAAATATGAATACATAATCAATATCTCTTAGTGACTCATTATTGAACAATATCCATAGCTTTGATATTGTTGAAATAACTTGCATGATTTATTTTGTGAACACACCCCACCTCTAACACACCCCACCTCTAACACATTACTTGTTGCACAACATTTATTAGAGCATTCTGACCAAATTATAGAGACACCTAGTATATTGTAGGGAGTCATAACACACTAAAAGTATAAAACTCTTGATAAATGAATTGGACAGGTTCTTTGCACCAATATCCTTGACACTTCAGGCTGTTTTCTCAAAAAGTAACGTTATTAAAATTAAAACAAAACACTTGTGGGTTGGTCTAATTGATTTCAGAAACAAAAAGTCACACAGGCCATCTGAAACCATGTGTTACACTAGCTACGTGAACAAACTTTGGTTGCAGCTTGTGATGCTGGATAGGAACAATGTTCTTTTGACAATCTGCTATATGGGAATGTTATTATCATTATCATTCCTCGAGTTGACATGCTTAAATACATTTTGCGATTCAACAAAGATATCAAACATTGAATCAACTAGGAAAGTGTTTACTAGTACTTGTGAAAACAGAGGCAGTCCTCTCATCAATATTTATAGATGAACCCCGAAATCCTTTCCATTCCGCTTAACATTAGTGTGATACCATTTGGTTTGGTGAAAAGTATGAGAACTACACCCTCATACCAGTTTTTAAGTACCTGCCCTCTATGCAACATAAAGGGGAACAATGATAATTCAACTGTAATGACATCACTTCATGTACATGTTCTACAAATGGCAGAGACAAACAAGCAGAAAATACAACAAAATTGTTTACTTACAAAGCTTTCATTGTCTCCAGTGTGGACAAAACTTTCATCAACTGGCAACGGTATGGCCTCTGCAAAGAAAATTCCATTCTAGTTCAGTACAAACATACATTACGAAAAATTACATAATCAAGAATATTGTCTATTTTGAAATATTTATCCTACATTTCATTTTGCACATTGCTCTTACTAACGAAGACGTAACTGGAAATGAATGACAATCTAGTAGTGTCTTCAGTACTCTTTTGCCCTACATGAAACCATGACCTTATTTGTTAATTTCTTCAATAGCCACAGATCAAAGGGAGCAAGTAGACACCCTTAACAAATAATGCAAAGGGTATGAGGGGCTGTTGTAGAGTACTGTTTTATGTCCCTTTCAGCAAACAGTTATATACGTGTCATGGCGGGAGGACACCCCAAATGGGCTTTACACATTGTACCCATGTGAACAGCAGCGAATGAGTATGGTTTTACACAGCTTTAAGCAATATTCCAGCAACATCACGACAGGGGACAACAAAGATGGGCTTCAGGGAATGGAACCTTGGTCTTCGGTGTTACAAGAGAACTCTTTAACCATTTGAATACCCTACTGCCCCCATGTGAAAAGAAAAATACCTTAACCACTAGGTGCCCCAAAGCAAGTTGAGATAATTCAATGATGTCGTATGTAAGTACATGAATATCAATACACATCAAAACAAACATAATACATCTAAAAGACTTAGTAATGAGCAAATATAATCCCTGTTATAGTTGTGAGTGAGTATGGTTTTACGCCACATTTAGCAATACCCCAGCAATTTCACGGCTTGGGACACCAGAAATGGGCTTCACATCGTACCCATGTCGGGAATTGAACCCGAGTCTTCGGCGTGACGAGCAAACATTTTAACCACCAAGCTACCCGACCGCCCCGAGCTTAGAGGAAGCAAGGCCAGCCTCACAGTTTACATGAAACTATCTCTTTCATCACAATTCAATTTTCTCAATCATCAAGATGTACAATCATCAAGTCATATGAAACGTATCAATATACACACAATAAAATAGCAATGTTTAAGATTTCAAACATCATCAATATTCAGTTTATCACAAGTCATTACAATGTTGATGACTGATGCCATATTTAAAGTCAGATATACATTTGATAAACATTCAACTCATTGTTGTTATTAAAAGGTCTCCCATTTACAAATGTAGTTCAAAATAGTTCATAGTATAGACTGATGTGCATTGAGAAAATCAACTGTTTACTGCAGCCCGAAAAAAGGGAAGGATGCAAAAAAAACACAAACAAAAATGATGTTTAGAAGAACAGTATAACAAACATAACAAACATAAACATACCAGTAAATGATAAGTCTCTGTCACTTTGGCCCATTGTTGCTTCACTTGTTTTCCCTTCCTTGTCGCTGAATCCCTCCTTTTGAACAAAGAAAAACACATGATTACAGAAGTATTTGAAATGACAGACTGTGGGATTTGGTTCTTTTTTATTTTTCTTTAATGCTGCACATATTAATATTCCAACTATGTATATGGATGGCGTTGGGATGTAAATGATCAAGTCTGGGCCAGACAATACAGTGATTGATAGGTACGATAGCAGGCTATGACCTGTGTCTGACCAATCCATTTGATTGCCTCTTAAGACCAGCATAGTTTGCTGGGAGCCAATTCTAACCCATGAGGTTAGCATGGGTTAGACCTAACAATCAAAACTCAATACATTACTGATTACTTGTATATATAAAATAGTATTCATTTTTCCTGGGTACTACATATGTCATATTATACTTTAAAATGGTGTAAAAATTTGGCTGCATAATTGGCAAGTATGCCATGTTTATTATAAATTTTACAACGTGAGATATTTGAGATTTATCATAAAATGGGTAGGTTTCTATTAAAGCCAATGGATAAAAATGATATCCGTTGGGGTCATATGCTGATAGAGATACAAATATCAAAGGTCAAGAAAGGATTATCTTTATCATGATACATCATCCAAACTGCGTTTACAAAACTTGCATAAAACAGAATTCTGAAATCAGTTTGGCAAGCATCAGCAAAATGCATTGAATGTTTAGTAGTTTGTGGTATCTTTTTTGTTGTATGTGGCTTTGCAATTGAAACATGTAAATATAAAACGTTAATGCCAGAAAATACCAGTCTCGATTATCAAACGAAACAGACACAACTTATCTAAAACAGCAATGAAAATTCTGTGAACAGATCACTGAAAATCAGTGATTACACCAAGTATTCAGGAAAGGGCTAAGCATACCCTGTAAACAAACCAGACCATCAAGTCATGGACCAGAAAATCTTATGAAATGATAACACATTTACTGATTTTGTTAAAACTAAAAATGATATATTTTGAATTAGGTCAGCATAAATATCTATTAAATAAGTTTTACATATTTTACCTTGCTATCGATGTTGATTGTGTCTGCAAAGGCATCAGCGTTGCAAGGTTTTTCTGTCAAGGGAATCCAGGGGCTGTCTGGTGGAAGTTCTGAAAATCAAGAAATAATTTCCTTATAAGCAGTTCGTGCAACAAATCTTATGAGACACGTATTACACAAAAAACTGGCCCATATAAATTTTAACTTAAAAAGTATGTATTGTATTATATCAGTATTATTATACTTTTTTAAGTATCTTACATAATGATATCACTAAAAAGATCAGTGACTTACAAGTTCATGCACTTCATAAATGTATCATAACTGTCATACTTTTAAGGCAAATCAATAACCTGAATTGGATGTGAAAAAAGCTGACAAAAAATCAGTAACTAATAATAAGAAGGAAATAAGCATCTATGTAATACTAGGTGAAAATGTACAAGCATCACCTCATTTGGGCAATAAAAATCAATCAGGTGTAACTAATGAACAATAACATGGAATTTAGCCAGGTGTCTTTATGACTGCTCATGACTGCTTTATGACTGATCTCGTTAGAGCAGAGCCTACCAAGCAAACAAGCAAACTTGGACAATAAACACATCTTAACAGACAACTTTATCAGCTTATATACAGTTAATCATTATATTTAATTGATGTCGTTAAGAGTGGAGCCAGACAGATGAAACGAGCAGACTTAGACAATACACACGTCACTGTTGAATGTGCAGTACCCACCAAAAATGAAATAACCCATAGTTAGTAAAGCTCAAGGATGTCTATTTTGTAAACTTAGTAAAATGCATTTGGCCCTAAATGACACATTCAATTCCACTTTGAAACAAATGTGTATTTTCTATTATTCAAGTAAGAGATATATAGTTACATTAAAAACTATAGGGGTAAGGACTTAAGGACATGCACATAAACCTGATACAATTAATCATGAAATGTAAACATTGATCCATTATCTGCCAAATTCCCTTACCAAAGGGAATTGAGGCTGACACCAAATTAAAACAGATTGGTTCAAACATTTTTATTTCAAAAGAAATCTGGATTGGTAAACAAGCAAAACTTATCTTCCACTTAGCAGCTATAAATCCCTACACTTCTAATTGCATTTTAGTATTGAACATTTTCTCTAAATGCCTGATTTATTCATGAGTTTGAACACGAAAAAGACCTCAAGTACTTCTCACAAACAGCCTGTCTTAAACAACCTTTCACATGACAGCATGTGACATAAACGTATTTGTGAAAATACAGTCGAGGTTATTAAAACACTGAGCTCATCCAACTCTACAACCAGAAAAAAATAATCTGAAAAGCATTATTTTCACCAAATGTAAACTTATATATTCACAACACATTGTGTGATAGACACTGATTCATTGAGTAAGCCTAATATATCTATCTGAAAACCGGTGAAATAAACAGATGAACTTCCTTAACTTAAACTAACTTAGAGGGGCAATGGGTAGTCTAGGGGTTAAAAAATTTGCTCGTCACCCCAAAGACGAGGCTCCACATGAATCCAATGTCTAAAACCATCCTCAATCACCAACCCACTCATTAGTCTCGCCAAGTGTAGTTATGTGTAATCTTACTGTACTGGTTACATGCAACATGTTCATTTATAACCTATATATAAGTATATTTATTATGTATTTAGTGATAAAATATTTATCTGAAAATCTAAAATAGGTATTAACATGTAATTTCATTCAATGAAATAATACCTGCTCTCAGAACTACTTTTAGTACGCCTCACTATGGCGTTCTGGCTATAAACCATCAAAATTACTAATAAAGAACAAAATAAATAGAACATTTGTCTTTTCTTGTCAAATATTGTGCATCTCATCTTGTGACCTTAACATTTGATGTGTTCTCAAGTGGCGCAAATCAGGTCAGTTGAAGAGATGACTATCAATAAACATTGATTGATATTAAAATATGAAAAGCGAAATATGCTCTACATAGAATCTTTCCTCTTGTAACCAGGTCACAGTATCTGATTTTGTTTGATTGTTATTTAACATCGCACTCAGCAATATTTCAGCTATATGTAGACAGGCTGCAAGTGTAAATAAGCAAGTCTGGGCCAGACAATTCATTCATAGACATCATGACCATGGCTCTACGCAGTTGGGATAGAATGGCGCGCATCAACCAAGTCGGCAAGCCTGCCCATTTGATCCCTTTAGTCACCTCCAGCATGGGTTGGTGAAGATAAATTTTAATTTGAATCTTCACTGATTAACCTCGGTGTTGTAGCAAAATTAAACGAAATACTAATAGGGAATGGGACATTAAGGCCTCAAAGACAAACCGATCTAGTGCAAACAAAAAATACTTTCACAGTATAGTGTGAACAACTACAATACTTTTTCTAGTAGTTTTTAGAAGATTGACATGGTATTTAAAATGATGATTCTAAAACTGTTTATTTTTAAGGATAATAACTAGGTCTAATAGATGAAGTGTCACGTGAGGATTTCTGGTTAGAATTGCTTGTTCGTAAGAGGTGACTAACTGGATCAGGTGGTCAGGCCTGATGACTTGGTTTGACATCCTTAGAAAAGTGGAGTAAATATAAGAAAAGCTTACCATCATTTACTGTATCCTTCCGGATATCTAGTCTTGAACACGCTGTCCCGGATGGTTGCTGTTGGCGAAGAAGAAAAGATTCATGATAAGATATGAACTAAAAAAAAATAAAATTCAAGCACACATGAAACTCTCTTTCAAAAGAATAGGGCAAGAATGTAATGAAAAGACAGTGTGACCATAGCTAAGCGGATATAGCAAATGTGTAAAGTTGTTACACTTGAAGGCAAAATATAATACCTTGTGTGTCTCTTTTTCCTGTTCGACGCTGTCATTAGCCTTCCTTTTCTTGGAAATATCATCTTTCTCCACATCTGAAAAATTGAGCATAGGTTAGAAAGCATGAAATTGTGCATGTACATAAACATAGATCTATATGTAAGTGAAGTAGATCTAGTTGAGACATTTAAGGTGAAGTTGTCATTAATTCAAAGGTGAAAACAATCCCAGCCAGGTGATGGTTGTTAAGATGGTGTTAACCAAGTTAAACTAAGCATTACCAAAATAACATATCATTTACCTGATGCAAGAATCCGTCGCTTCCGCGCCTCATAGTCTGGTAACTTGCTTTGCCAATCTAGCCTGCTGTGGGAATATTTCGTACGACGGGAGACAAATGTATCACAATGTGTACATAAAACTTTATCAACAGACATTACTGCAGAATTGATGCCTCAAAAACACAACGATCTGTACCAATAAGCAAAACAAGCTTCGAAATACGTGTTGTTCTCAATACAGCCGGATGTGCAATGAGTGTTTACGTTTTTTCCGGAAGTACTCGGATACTAAAAAACCGATATATTCTATAAGAACAATACACTAAAACGCATGTGTATTAACCTTATACATTTTATAATGTTTAAACACCGTACTGTTTAAGTATTTAAAAAAATAAATGCTTTATTGTAAGGTGTTCGGTGTGTTCCGTAACATCGTTGTTACACTCGTGTGTTTCCGGACATAATCGGAAAATGATTTCAATTGAATGATTACGAGTTATTTGTAAACTTTAGAATGTAATATCTTGTAATAAAGTCAACATATGTATTGCAATGGTATATCTCGTATACGAAGCAAAACATAGTTGAAATAAATAAATAAAATAAGTGGAACACATTTTACCCATAATCCATCACGAAGGCGCCATTTTGAAACATGGATGTAAATAAAACGGACTCAGCTGTCATCATGGCTTATCATTCAATTTCAATCGTCAGCCAAGTATTAATCACGTCATCTTCGATAATCGCCAACATGGATACACCTCCTTCTACACCGTCATCGTCGCAAACTTCATATCCAACTGTCATGGGACGACTTGACGGAATTCAGAGAAGTTTAGATTCCCTCGAAAGACGATTTCCGAAAGACCCGGCCAGCTTTTCTTCAACGCCAGTGGGCAGAAAGACCAATTTGCGGAAATGTCAGGTAAAATATCTGTTCAGTTGTTCAATTTCCTAATCGTGCAAAGGCTTCTGTAACATCTGTCTAAGAAAACTATTAAGAAATTGATTATGGCCTAACTATCTGACTAGGTTTTATGCAATGTTTACAAACACAAGGATTACTTAATCTGTTATATCTCTCCAATTTCGACAGCTATAAATTGTCCTGGCAGAACACATAATGCATCAGCAATGTTTTATTAATGTTATCTAAGATGCATGTTCTTCCTTCTAATTACCAATCTTTACTTTTTAGCTACATTGTGAAGGTTTATTTATAAAAAGTAATAATGTTATTGTAAACTGGTATAGTCAAAATTGTGATTTCGAAATTACATTTGATTTATTTGATTTGATGGACAGGATCATGTGGTCAGGTTCACTGGCTTGGTTAATCATATCACAATTGATGCGCATGATGTCAGTCACTGGATTGTCTGATCAAGACTTGATTATTTACAAACTCTCATACAACCGGTAATGTAATGATATGAGAATATCACTATTGTTATCTTTGTTTCAGAGTGTGATACGGAGGGTTATGAAGATCCTCCAGACTGAGAAGGACTCACCTCTTGTAGTTGAGTATCTTGAGTGAGTATATTCTGTATATGCAATAATTTGAATTTATTGAAACTGAATTTTCTACAAAAATATCACACACAATTATCAGAGTTTATAACAGTGGGGCTCACAAATGAGTTCTTTATCATTAGTCAGTTGCAAATCAGTACATGTCTACCAAATTGATTGTTTAGAAATGATGTTTATGGTTGTTTTATGAATAATGTCTTACGTAAATTATGGATATGTACAAGTTCTCTGGAATGTATCTTCAAAGTAAACGAAAACACTGGATCCTATATGTAACTGTGATGTGATTTCAGCTACAACAGTGATTCGGTCACTGTTGCGAGAGATCGGGTGATTGGAGAGGTCCTGAAAAATCACTCAGAGAAGGAATGGGCCAACATGGACACTTTGCGAGGTATGGTATTGGGAGTACACTATATCAAAAGCACATACACTAATCAGAATCCTGTGAATGTTAAGTACTAAGGAAACAGGCCATGGGTCTGATACCAATAGACAAGATTTTTTTGTTTGTTTGTTGTTTAACGCTGCACTCAGCAATATGCCAGCTATATGACGGCAGTCTGTAAATAATCAAGTCTGGACCAGACAATCCAGTGATTAATATAATGAGCATCGATCCACGCAATTGGGATCCATGACATGCATCAACCAAGTCAGCGAGCCTGACCAACCGTCCGCGTTAGTCGCCTTTTATGACAGGCAATAGACACAATTTATTAATACATACATGTCCATATTACTTGTACTTAAACAAGAACTTAAGACATACATAATCTGCAAAACAAGACCTGCAGTAAAAATGTTCAGTCACACATTTGAAAGTGTTCATTCAGATGTGTATACTAATTATCAAATTCATTAAATAATCTTGTGGAAATTACTGCAATGTGAATGTTACTTATACTTGTAGCAGCCTTCAAGAACATATGGATCAACAAGAAAGACGACTACACCCGCAGCATCACCGGAAAGAAAGCAGACCACAGACGAGCAGCCAGGAGGAACAAGAGAAGAACAGCAGTAAGTGATAATTTGCCATGTAAATATCAGTAGGTTTCTTTTGCTATTTGTAATGCAGGATAAGTATACAAATGTAAACAAATAGTTAGATTTTACTAAGTTTCTTTGTTGGAACATAAATCATTCTTCCCTATTAAGATTAGATAAGAATCTAAGAATGTTTCGTATAAATTATTGATAACTGCAACTGCAAGCAGAAAGAACATAAATCAATACTGGCTGATTTACCTTACAGCTGTTTACCTTACATTACAGAAACAGTAATTCATAAGTGAAATAATTAAGTCGTTGCATACCAATGGCAACAATCAATTTTCATTAATTCTGCAGAAACTGAAGTCCCGCCAGAACTCACTGGACCAGTGCCCCAAGCCAGCAGCCTGGAAGGAACGCGTACAAGAAGTCCTCACCCGGGAGTGTACCTCTCCAGATGTAAGCGACGATGACCAGCCTGGGATGAGATGGGTTCACGAAATACAGTGGGAGTCCACACAGATGGTGGACATAAAGAAGTATTTAGACGAACGGACCGAGGCTGCTCTGAAGCATGTGAGGAGACCACCCAAGGCCAAGCTGGAGTACGACCCGACGAGGAGCTGTGAGGAGCCCATGCCGAAGAAGTTGCCGTCATGGGCCATTCGATCCACGCATGTGAGAGATGGTAAATGTCAAATGCTCTTTTTTAGACTTGTCTGTAGTTTATGAATGTGGGACAAAAACGTAAATTTTAAAATTCACATTTGGATTAACAAAACGGTGACCTTTCATTTTGTGACCAGCCATTTTGATATTCTTGGGGTGGAGCTGGGATTTTGTGTGATAACCAGTTATTTTTTAATTAACACTATAAGCCTGCATATCTCTTTTAGAAAATCTGTCAGCAACAATGTAAATTGTGTTGCAGAACATTCCCCTTTTTTAACAGTCTGTAGCTTAATTAGTTTTTCCATAAAATCCGACACCCCTAACATGCGTTTGATCGATAGTTTTCTTGGTAAATGAAAGCCCATATGTAATTATGCATCTGTTGATGATTGAGACCATGGGTTGAAATGTGGCTTTTACTCAGATTTCGGCAGTATTGCAGATATCTTGAGAGGGGTACATCAGTAACAGATCTCTTGCATTGTACTTATGTGAGCAAAGCTTAATCACATTAGACATGGTTCTGTCTTCTTTGCCTCGGAGTATCAAAATGAGCATTCAATGTGGAGGTTTTGTTATTTCCAGCCTTGCTTGAGTCCAGCCCCAGTCAGCCTACACCAAACAGGACAAGCGAACAGTAGGTTGTCAGTATAGAGATCAGGTAATTAGTATTTTCAGGGTTTTATCTTGGTTTGAGGTGGGTCTTTGTTAAGGGTATACATGGCAAAAGTACGGATATATTCCGAAAATTGAATCAAAATATTATTAATTCAAATTGTTGTACACGTTAGTCTTGCTCGGAATGTTACAAATATTTAACACCAAAATGCAATCATTTTGTTCTTGCAAAAAGTTGCCAGCCACAGGCACTTACTCGTTAGTTCCTGAGATAAACCCTGATTATATTTATTTAGCACTATTTGCATTATCATTTGTGGACTAACACACCTTTTTAGCATCATTTGTTCTCACATCTCAATTGTCATGTTGATAATGTATTGCCAACTGCAGTCTACAGTAAGAACACTAATGGGGATTCCGTGTAAGAATATAGATCCCCTGCAAGTTGGCAGCACCCCATGGTTGCTGTAGGAGGTAATTAATTGGGTGGTCTTTGGTGTCGGTGACTTAATTACATGTCATTACATGTGCCATGGATTGATGCTCATGATGTCAATCATTTGATTGTCTGGTCTAGACTTGATTTCTTTACAAAACGCCATCATGTTTTGTAATTGAATGTTGCTAACACCCAGCTAACACCCAGCTAACGCCACACCCAGCATGATGTCATCATGAGCATTGATCTACGCAATTGGTATACAACATGCATCAACCAAGTCAGCTTGTCTGACCACCCCATCCCTTAAGTCGCCTCTTGCGACAAGCATAGTCGCCTAAACTACAGCAAAAACATGTTTATTCATCATTAGAAACTAGTTACGAGTAACCATGACACAGATTGAGATATGTTAAGGTGGGGCTTCACTGTATTGGGCTAGATGTAAACTTGTAATATTATGAAGCAAATGAAATAACACTGCATTGTTGAGATCATTTCATATTTCCTCCTACTTTGAGTGAGTATGGTTTTAGGGCGCCTTTAGCAGTATTTCATCATCGGAAAATGCACTTCACACTTTGAACCCATGTGGGGAATCGTACCCATGGCTTTGGTGCGACAGGCCAACGCATTAACTGCTTTGCTCTTTCATTGACAACTTATGTAGCCGTTACAAGACAGGAAAGTTTCTATTGAGTAAACAGAAAGAAATTGTTACCTTCAAATAAAATTATTTGTGCTACAAATTCAGATTTTCTGTCTGAGAAATTGTTGAAATGCCTCCATTAAATGGTTTTCAAGATTTAATCAGACAAAAAATCAGAAAGATTGTCATTTATTGTATCATTATGTTTGTTATCATTGATTATGATAATACATAATGATATTTCAAATGTCATCCTACCCGATTCCATATTGGATTTCAGTCAAGTGTAGGCCCTCATTATCACAGTAGGGTGTGAGCCCCAACATGAGATAAGGGTGTGTGACGAGGCCACACATTAACCACTAGACTACCCCACCGCCAAATCTTACTTTGACAACTTGTCAACTGATGTAGTTTCAAAACAGGAACAGTTTCTATTGAGTATACTCAGAGAAATCCTTACCTCAGATGAGATTACTTTGTGATACAAATTAAGACTAAAGATTTTTTGTCTGTTGAAATACCTTTTTCAAGTTTGAATCACAGACAAAAAATCTGATACATTTATTGTATCATTGTTCATTTATGTTTGTTATCAATGATTTTGCTAATACATAATGATATTTGGTAGGAT